TGCTTCTTCCATGTGGGCTTTGTTGTTTCTCAGTTAGATGGCCCCTTGTTTATCTTCCAGCCTATAGGATCTCCTATAGGCGTTTATTTTTATAGTAGCGTTCTCATACAATATTCATCCTTTTGCAAGGGACTCATTTCACTCAGCACGACAGATTCCAGGTCCATCCATGTCACGAGGCGTTTCATGCTTTCGTCACCCCTTTTAAGGGATGTCTAGCATTCCATTGCGTGTGTGGACCAGATTTTCCTAATCCCTGCTTCTGTGGATGGGCATTTGGGCTGTTTCCAGCTTCTTGCTACTGCGAACTGTGCTGCCACGAACACGGAAGAGCCGACATCTGTCCCGTTCTGTCTCTTACTTCTTAAGCAAAGTTACTGCTCTCTGGCAGCAAAGCTCAATGTTGTTGAATTAATTTAGACGCATCGTGCTGCACATAGGATCGAAGAGAGCTGCCCCACAGGATTGCAAAGGCTGTAAGTCGCTATGGAAGCAAACAGTTTCATCCTTGTTCTGTGGAGCAGCCGGCGGGTTTGAACCACTGACCTTGCCATGAGCAGCCCAATCCTCAACCTGCTGCTCCACCAGGGCTCCTTGGGCAGTGGACAGTGGATCCAAACTCTCTGCAGAGTGAACCCCGAGCCCCAGATGTCTCCTGTTCCATTAGGCCCACTCAGGATGGAGTTAGCCCTGTCTGGAGCCGGGAGAGGGCAAGGCCCCGGCCTCTCCTGAGTGGAGGACGGTTGAGGGTTGACTGGGGTGAGGACACCGGGAGGTTCTGACCTGTTTGGTTTTCCTACCTACCATTTCTGTCTGGTCACATTTGAAGTGTCAAGCCCAGGGCACAGGGAAGGGGTCACGGATGCTGATCTAGGCCCAGCCCTGCCCCTAGTGGTCTGCGAGGGAAATGCCAGCCGTTGGCCCTCTCCACAGCAGCGTGGGCACAAACAGGAAGGCGGATAGGAACTTGTTCTGAGAGGTATGAAGCCCATCCCACGTGTGGGTACCTCAGCTGTGTCTGAAGAACTGCACCAAGAGACTTCTTCTTCTTTTTTTTTAATAAGTCATTTTATAGGGGGCACTTATAGCTCTTATAACAATGCATACATCAATTGTATCAAGCACATCTGTACATTTGTTGCCATCATCATTTCCAAAACTTTTTCTTTCTACTTGAGCCCTTGCTATCAGTTCCTCTTTTCCCCTTCCCTCCCCCAACCCTTGATAATTTACAAATTATTTTTATTTTCATATTTTACACCATCCACTGAGGGAGACTTCTTTGTATTTATTTTTAACCTTTCATTGTGAGTTGAGTGGAAGTTTACAGAGCAAACTCAGTTTCCACCCAACACTCACTGCCAGGGAGTCGAAGTTGTCTCATAGCTGTGCATTTTCGAGACTGGAACTCTTTATGGGATTAGAAAACCCTTCCATTCTCTAGTGGAGCGGCTGGTAGATTCGAACTACTGCCCTTGTGCATCGCAGCCCAGTGCGTACACATTTTGTTTTGCGATGTTGCAATCAGTGTAACGGCGCCCTTCCTACTGCCTCCCTCTATTTCCTTCTGTCCTGCCCTTTTCTGCCTTCTGGGCTTTTTCCCTGAGCCAATGCTGCCCTTTGACCTTGTATTAAGGATTGTTCTAAGGAAGGTGCCTCTCCCTTAGGGACATGCCTGTTTGTCTGTCTACTCTTTGGCTAAGACTTGAACCAGAGGGGGGTTCAGTTCTCCCTCGGCATGGCTGGTGGGTTTGAACCACCGACCTGTCAGTTGGCAGTTGAGCACTGAGCCTCTGTGCCACCAGCGCTCCTTGTGGGCACAGAAGTAGTGTGGTTTTCAAAGCCAGTTGCCCCTGACCCGTGGTGACCCTGTTAGTGCCAGGGTAGAACTGGGCTCCACAGGATTTTCCGGGGATGCTTTTTCACAAATAGATCACCAGGCCTTTCTCCCAAGGTACCTCTGGGTGGACTGGAGCCTCCAGCCTTTTAGTTGGCAGTGGAGCCCAGTCATTATTTGGACCAGCCGGGAACTTCCGGAGAGCATACTGTTGGCGTTGAGTGCTGTCAAGGCAGATCTGGCTCATAGCGACCCCACGGGCCCAGGAGAACTGCCTTGTGACTAGGTTTTGCCGGTGGTCGTCTTTATGAAACAGACCCTCCTGTCTTTCTCCTGCAGAGTGGTTGGGAGATCCACACCAACAACCTTTTGCTTCATCTATAAAAGCCAAACACGGGGGGTTAAGTCCATTCCAACGCACAGCCACCCATATATAAACCCAGTCATGAAGCCAGTCCCAACTTCTAGCAGCTCAAAACAGGGTTTCTGAGGAGACAAGGGCTTTCAGGATCAGACAGCCTCATCTTTCTCCTAAGGAACAGCTGGTGGGTTTGAACAGCCACCCTTGTGGTTAGCAGCCCTCGTGCTTACTTGAGAGTGCTACCAGAGTCCTATCAGGTAGAACTGCCCCTGCGGGTTTCCAAGACTGTAACTCTTTACAAGAGTAGAAAGCCTCATCTTTCTCCCCCAGAGCAGCTGGTGGTTTTGAACTGCTGACCTTGAGGTTAGCAGCCCAATGTCCGCCACCAGAGCTCCTTTCTGTGAGGACTACAACAGCCTTGGAAATCCTGCAGGGGCAGCTCTACTCTGTCCTTGAGGGTCACTGTGAGTGGGAACCCACTTGACAGCGGTGTGCTTGGTTTACTACATGCCAGGCACTGTTCCAGGGGCTGGCGATACAGCAGTGACCAAGAGTCACACTAATCTCTGCCCTCAGGGAGCTTGCATCCCCGCCACATGTGGCTCCTTACCAGGCAGGCAGGAAAGGTGGCCAACGCCATCACCGTTCTCACTGGGCACCAGGAGGTGGAGGACTTGCCCTAGGTCCGTACAGTGCGAGATCGCGGCCGGGCTGAGCCTTGGCCCTCAGCCCCACTGACTTGGGCGCCTCTTGCCAGATCATCTTCCTGCAGACCAGGCCTCGGCTGCCGAACACGGCCGCCCTGCTGAGCAGCTGCATCGACGGCTACATATACGCCTGGTCCATTCATGGCAACGGCGGCCTGCTGGGGAAGTTCCCTGTGGACGTGCAAGGCCAGGGGAACACAGTCGTGGGCGCCATGGCCACGGATGAAAACGACTGCATCCTTGTCACAGGGGATTGCAACGGATGCATCAAGGTGAGGAAGCCTGTGTGGGGTGCCTTTGCTGCTTTACTAAGCCCTTCTGGGTACTGGTTTAACCTGTGGAACACTGGAGCTTAGGGTAGACCACCTGAGAGGACCTCTCCAGTGCCAGGTGCTTGAGGAAATGAGCATGAGACTGCTGTGTGTGTGTGTGTGTATTGGTAAGGGGAAGGCTGGCTTAAAAGACTTCCCCCGAAAAATCCTCCCCAGTGAGTACCAGGCTCCACCATTCCCTGCTTACAATTCCTTCACGTCCTCCCCCTCCCCAGTTCTGAATCCCATCTATATGTGTCTGCAATCGGTTTTGTACTTTCTGGTGAGTCCTGGGCAGGAGTGTCCCATCTTTATGCCGGTTACCCCATTTCTGACCGCAAGCCCAAAGGTCTGGTCTCATCGCTCCCTATGTCCGAGAGACAGTCTGGGGGTTTCAGAGGCATGGACAGGGATCCTTGCCAGGCAGAGAGGAACGGTCTGGGAGGAACCGACAATGGGAGTTGGCATGGGGCGTCCGGACCACTAATCGTACTTTGTACCTAGATCTGGGACATCAAAGATTACTGCATGCCCGATGACCACAAGCAGCCACCAGTCGGTGGGGGAAAGGCCTTCCCGGGCACAGAGAACAAATTCCAGTCCTTAATACCCAAGAGGTTCCGTGCCAGCATCTCGGAGCTCAAGTACTTGAAGGAGAAGACGGTAGGAAGATGACTGAGGGTTTGCTCCCCGGCTAAGAGCTGGGGGCCGTGGGGTCTCTTACAGAGATTCTGCGTCTCCCAGGCTTCCAGTTCAAGGCTGTCTGACGGAGGTGGAGAGACCCCCCAAAGTCAAACATGCCCTGGTGTGCATACCCTTCAAACAGCCTTGAGAGAAACACACCCTTAAGGTACCTCTAAGCCCACACGTCCACATGTCGGTACACCCACCCCTTCCCTGGGCTTTGATCTTGGCCATGAATTTTTTTTTTTTTTATAAAGATCATTAAAATCAGAATAGGTTTTTCTTGCTGGAAAAGCTGCGGATAGTTCCCTGATGGTGACGAGGTTGAGCCCCTTTTTATGAGCCATCGGTACAAAGGCGAGTGAAAATCAAAATGCACGAGGACCGCACGCTCACCGGGAGGGCTGGCTGTGCAGAAAGAATTTCTTCTCGAAAGAGTCACACGAGATGACTCCCAAGAAGGCGGAGGCTCTGTACGCATCAAAGCTCTCCACGCCTTTTCAAAACTGCTGCACCATTCTACAATCGGGAATATCAGCGGCCACTCCTCCCCCGAGTAGGTTCCCACCTGCAGTTCATTGCATAGCCACACAGAACTCCCAGGGCCCACCTCCTCGTGGGTGCTGGTAAGTCCCGCAGTCCAAAGTTCTGACGGCCAGCTCTCCACTTCCGCCTCTCCTCTCTCACTGGTCATACAATTCTCCCCTCCATGCTTTGAGATGGCTCAGCAGGGTGACAGTCACCGTGGACCCTGCCAACAATCACTCATAACTGAGTCATAGAACCCGATCAGTATCTTCCCCTACCTTTTTCCCCAGACCCATCAGGGAAAAGCCGTCGGGTGGGAGCCACAAAAACAAGACAGTGGCCAGAAGAGCTGTAAATAATTCCCTGCACGGCAGGCTGACATCAACAAGACAGGCAACACCAGATGCTGGCGAGGATGTAGAGCAACTGAATTCACACTTGTCTGGTGGGAATGCCACTTGGTACCGACCCCTTTGGAGATCTCTTCTGCAGGAGCTGAATGTACACTTACCTTAGGACCCAGCGGCGCTGCTCCTCCGTCCCTACCCTACCCGAGGGACGTGCATGCACTAAAAGCTAAGGATAAGACTCTTCCTTCCAGGACTGCTATTCCCAACAACTCCCATTCAAATGCCGGTCAGCAGGAGGCTGGAGACAATAAGCTGTGGTCCCCAGCAACGGAAATGAAGGAGCTACAGCAGCTCAGCATGCCCTGGGCACTTCTCTACACGATTTAAGAAAACAAAACAAAACGAAACCAACACAAACAAAAGGCGGGAAACCAGAATACAAGGGAGCATATATGACATGTTTTTGTTTAAATCATTTTTTAGGGGCTCATACAGCTCTTAGCCCCATCCATCCATCTGTTGTGTCAAACACATTTGTTGCCATCATCCTTCTCAAAACATTTTCTTTCTATCTGAGCCCTTGGTGTCAGCTCCTCATTTCCCCTCCCTCCCCATTCTCCCTCCCTCACGAACCCACGGTCATTTATAAATTATTATCATTTTTTGCATATTACATGTTTTATGGTTCCTGCTATACGAATACAAAGTTCAGAATTTGACAAAACAGGTCTCCGTCTTGAGAAGTCATTGTCTCCAGTACCAGGAGCAGAGCGACAAGGAGGGGTCCGGAGGGGGTTCAGGGGCGGACAACCTTCTGCTTCACTCTGGATGCTGAGCAGATCGCCATGCTCAGCTTGTAGAAATTTGTTCGATGGCACATTTGGGATTTGTACACTTTTTGGCATGTGTATTTGCACATCAAGAGCATGAAACAGAATCCAGCAAGATAGACAGGCTTATCCTTACTCCCGCTTCTGTAATCTGGTGAGAGCCATCTACATCCCATGGGGTTGTAAGGTTCAAATGAAATCATATGTACAAGGCACTTGGTAAACAATATAGAAAGACCTAGAAAGTCTAGGTCAGGACCTGCTTAAGGTCCCCAGTATGTTCATGTGGGGATGTGTCCAGAGTGAAACCCCTCCCCCTGGGCCTTGCTGCTTCTCGTCCTGGATGTTTTCAGGGGAGCCTGTGCAATGATCCTGGTATGTAAGTAGTTCTCCTGCACTCTCCCGGTAGGTCGTGGATGGTCAGACCATTTTCCTGACTCCCCCGAAGCTTCTGGTTACCTGGAAGGGCCATATCGAGAGTGTGGTGGACATCCTGTATGTGGACAGCTTCCAGCTGGTTATCAGTGCTGGCCTGGACCAGAACGTCAAGGCTTGGAAAATCTACGGTGAAGCTGTTGGTATGGGTCTCACTGAAGCTCAACCAGGCCCCTCGGCTGGCCCTGGCTCTGGTCCTATTAGAACATACCCTGAGGGGAGGGGAATCCAGACCACACGGCGGTCTTTGCTCAAAAAGTATGACAGGGCATGAGTCTGTTGTCTGTTCAGCCGTCTGCCCATTCTTCCATTCAGCTATCCATTGTCCACTCACCCATCCATCCAATGTGGTCCTAATGTAGCTTTGCAAACCATAAATCTGATTCTACCCCAAATACAAAACTCACTGCCATGAAGTTGATTCCAACTCACAGAGACTTTAGGAGAGAGTAGAAATGCCCCTGTGGATTTCTGAGACTGTGACTCTTTAGGAAGCAGGGAGCCTCATCTTTCTCTCGGGGCGCGTCTAGTGGTTTTGAACTTCTGACCTGGCGGTTAGTTGCCCAACATGTAACCCACCACGCCACCAGGGCTCCATAAATCTGAGAAGGTATACTGCGTTCTTGTTTTAAAAATAAACTTGCTACGTATGACTTAGATAAGAAAAGTCGACAAATCAGAAGTGTCCAGCTTGGGGGTTACACAGGCTCATAAAACCACTCCATATCAAGAAACCAACACTCCCAGTCTTCAGGGGCTCCCCTCTTGCCCTCTCCCCTACCTGTTTCTCTATAAAAATAACCACTCTTCTGACTTCCGGGTACATAGATTGGTTTTGCCTGATTCTTAACTTTGTGGAGATGGACTCATGAGAGAGGTTCTTGTTTGAGCTTGTCTTCTTTGTGGCAACATTACAGCACACCATGTGCTTGTGAGAGTCACCCACTTGTTGAGTGAGGTAGCTCGCTCACGTTCATTGCCGAATTGGAGCCTATCAAAAGATTGAATGTGCCTTTCATGGTCATTTGTGTGACTCCTGTTGGTGGGCATTGGGGTTATGTCTGGTTTGAGGTTACGAAAGACAGTGCTCTGAACATTGATTGACTCTTTTGGGGACAAGAAGAATGTATGCATTTCTGCTGGAGATGTGCCCAGCCTGGGATTGGCTGAGACGCGGAGTCTGGTATGTTCAGTCTCAATAGGTACTTTCCAAGCATATTTCTAAGTGGTTACTGCTCGGTACCTTTTTACTAGCAGTGTGTAAGAACCCCCATCTCCCCACGCTTCTGCTACACGTGGCGTGGCCAGCGTTATTGATTGAAGCCCTTGTGAATTTGCGTTGCCCTGGTGACTTTGAGACTGGACAACGGTCTGTGTGTTTGTTGACCGTTGACCGTTGGGCTCTATCCTTTTGTCCAGTGATGATTCTTCTTCCGGTTGCCTTTTTCTTTTTGATTGGAGGAGTTGTTTATATGGCGTGCCTGTGAATTCTCTGTCTGCTGTGTAATCGTTTCAGGAGAGCTTCCTCCATGAGGCCACCTGCTTTGTCTTTTCAGTGACGTCCTTGGATGGGCAGGGCCCTTAATGCGAATGTCCTTCACATGATCAGGCTCATCTTCGACGGTTCACACTGCTTGTGTGCTTTTAGCGGGCTTTTTGATGATGTCACAAATAAAAGGGGGTATCTTTTATTTATTTTATCTTTTTTTTCCCAAGGTCACATCTTTTAGAAGCTTGACGATTTTAACAAACAGGTTGATTGAAATGTAATTTACACCCAGTATAACGCTCCTTTGGAAAGTAGACAGTTCTCTGAGTTTTGACAAATCAGACAGTTGTGAAATCACCATCGCTAGATGTAGCTCCTTAACCCCACCGTTCCTTTGTGTCTCCCTGGAGTAAACACTCCCTTCTCCTAACCACTGGTACCTCTGACCTCTGTCCAGATGGCTGGATCTTTTCCAGGTTGTCCATAGATGTGGAAGCATACAACCTTTTGAGACGGACTGCGCTCACTCCGTGTGATGACGTGGCCTCTGCGGTGCTGTTGGGGGTATCAGTGTGCTTGTATCGCAGAGAATTATTCCACTGGGTGGCTACCTCACAATTTGTTAACCTCGTCGCCAAAGGGCACTCGGGGAATTTCCAGTTTGGGTTGATTATCAGACCTTGTGTTCACTTCTCTTGGGTAAATATTTAGGAGCGGAATTGCTGGGCTACATATTAGATTTATTTGACTTCTACAAGAAACTGCCAAATTGCTTTCCAAAATCTTGGTACTGTTTTCCTTCCTCACTAACAGGAGCTGAGAAGTCTAGTTGGTCCATGTCCTCCCCAGCATACCATGCATGGCCCATTAAAAAAAAAATTAAGGATTAACGATAGTCCAGAGGTTTCAATATTGCTCTTTCAAAAAACAGATTGAACAAAGCTCACAGGAGATGAGGTGCTGTAGTGAGTTAGCCAGAGGAGATGAGGTGCTGTAGTGAGTTAGCCAGAGGAGATGAGGTGCTGGAGTGATGTAGCCAGAGGAGATGAGGTGCTATAGTGAGGTAGCCAGAGGAGATGAGGTGCTGGAGTGATGTAGCCAGAGGAGATGCACAGAACAGCTTCTGAACATGAGATTGAGTCATGAGGGAAAGTGAGAGGTTCTCGTGGGAGAGAAGCCCTCCCAGCCAGGCCTCTCTGCTGCCAGTTTTTATTTGCACGTCAAAGGGGACAGTTTATAAAAATTCACATGCAGGGGCAACTTTAGGGCATGATGCCTTCAGGCTCAAGCTGTCTTTATGATTCATAATGAACAAATATGCTCACACGCCAGCACATTCTGACCCAGGGGAGTTCTTTTTGTCTCCTTATCCCTCAGCGTTTGTGCCAAGTTCCTGGACCATGCAAATGCTTTATTCACAGTCTTTGCATCCAAACAGTCCTCCCAGGGCCAGCGGGACCATGCTTCCCCACATAAGACCTTTTCCTGGTATCCTCTGGGTATTTCCTGAATACCAGTGTGATGCCTGATACAGGGTGCACACCCAATATTTAGATGGCCATGCGGGCTGGAAGTGACTGCATAAGGTCACTGTTGGCTCTTATGGGTGGTGGATGAGGGACATAGGTGCAAAGGAGGGGAGCATGCCAGTCCTTTTAACGGAGCAGCTTCTGGTTACGTCGCAGGGACATTCGGCCATAGTGTGTGGAGCAGACTGAAGGAAGTCCCGCTGGGCGATGGTAGTGAACCAGAGGAGACGCCTATCTCCAAGGATACCACCCTCAAGGCCTCTCAGCTAGAGTACCAGTAAGTTATCACAGCCCACCTGGAGAAGAGACCTCTGGTCTGCAGAGAGGGGTACTGAGAGCGTCCACAGGTCCCAGGGCTGGACGGGCCTGAACATGGTGTGTAAGGGGCCTCGGATGACCAGAGACTTGGTGCCTGCAGACAACTTTGTTCCACAGATGGGCATGAGGTTCAGAGGCCCTGTTTTACCTCAACTCAGTTGAAACACTGAGCCATAAAGGGGGAGGATGCAAAACCCAAGTCCTGAGATAAGGTTTTGTCTTACGGCCAGAGAAGGCTTCCCTGCTGAGGTCATTTCTAAGAAACCAGAGGCCCCTTTCTAGGGTTCGGATCCCAAGTAGACACTCAGACTCTTCCTGGAAGATCAGTGTGTTTGCTACTTGCTCCAACCCAAACCAGACTCACTTGCATCGAGTCGATGCCGGTTCATAGCAACCCTGTAGGGTGGGGTAGAGACACCCCTGTGAGTTTCCGAGACTGTGACTCTTTAGGGGAGCAGAAAGCGCCACCTTTCTCCCGTTTGATATAGAAATAGGAATTTTTCATGTACCCATAACTTCCTATGCTCTTTGACAGTTGTGTGTGTGTGTAGGGGAGCGGTATGGAACAAGTTGGAAGAAGGGTTTCCTAGGAGGGAGAGGATGTTTAACTATTCCTTAAGATGCAGTGCAGGGAAGGCCCAAGTGGGGTACGGAGGTGGGAGGGGTGTCGGGCCTCCGGGTGGGAGAGCTCAGGGCAATGAGCATGGTTGAAGGGTTCGTTGGGGGCTAGCCGGCTATGAGCTTTGCCACCATTCATTGGCACCTGTTCAGTGATGCCCCCTGGGCAGGATGGCCTTGCAGGAGGGATGAGAAGGTGGGAGAGCTTCAGGCCCAGGAGAAGGAGACCGTCCTGGGGCTCCTGTGAGGGCGGCCCTGCCTCCCAGGCGAGTGGAAGAACAGATCTTGTGAAGGCAATTCCCTCCGAGCAGGGAGGACTGGGATCTTGCCGAGGCGCTGGCCTATCAGCGGCGGGAGCAGGCGGTGCTGATGAGGTTCCTGTGTGGGAAGGAGAACTCGGAGGCTGAGGCTTGGTCCACGCTGCAGAAGATGACCCCCACATCACCTTGGTCTAAAGACTGCTCCCCAGAAGACATTGAGAACAGCTGGCAGAGCTGGGAGGCCAAGGACAAGCAGGTTCGGCTGGGTGGGAGGTGTGCGCATGGGGTGTGGTGGGGTGGGGTGCTAAGCCTCAATCCTGAACCTTCACTCTGGCCTGGGACTCCTGCAGGTGAGCAAAGTCTTGGGAGCAGCATATAAGCCCAAGGAGCGGGCTCGGACCCCTGAGTTTCTGTTCAGCAATAAGCACTATACCTGCCTCAAGCATCAGGTGAGGCGGGTCAGTGGTGCCGTGAGATGCTGGGGCTGTAGGCCTCTCTCCACATGGTCCCTGAGTGGGGGTGGCAGGCACACCCATCCTTTAATGGGATTCTGGGCTACAAGCAGGTCTGGGGGGTAGTCGGTCTGGCTGGTGGGTTTGACAAGGCGCTGGGTCTTAGGGGGGGCGGTGTCCTCCTTGGGCCCAGCACCTCTCAATGACCCTCACCTCCCCATCCCCAAGCCTGTGCTAAGCATTTGCTTTTCAAACTGCCCATGTCCTCACGGCCAGGGGCTTCTCAGGGACAGACTGAGCAAGACACACAGCAAATAAGTGATGTGGGCACAGGGCAGTGAAGAGGGAACAGGGGGTGCTTTGGGCACACCCCAACTTTTCCCAACCTTGTTTTCCCCTGAGGATGATAGGAGCTCCCTGCACACTCGAGGGATGGGTAGAAACAATCCCCCAGAGATCAGGCCAAGCGCCCCTTTCTCTGAAGCCTCCTGGTCTGGATGGGGAGGAGGAGGGAGCATGGTTGAGAGGCCCACTCCCTCAGCAGCCCCCCCTTTCCTGGAAGTGGGCCCCCAAGGCTAGCTTGAAGATGATTCTCAAGGGGAATGGGTGTAGGGGGAGCGCAGTGCACCTGAACCCCTACTGGGGTTCAGCTGGAGGCCTTGTTCTGAGAGGAGGGCAGAGCTGGGCTGACCTCCTGGGTTCATAAGCGCCAGAGGGAAGGGGCTGGCGGGGGGCCTGGTGTGAGCAGGTGGTGGGTCTTCAGGTGCTGCCTAGGCAGTAACCCCGTGTCTGCAGACTGCGATCCCTTGGGAGACCTCAGGGTCCCTGTGAGAGGGAGACATCTTGCCTTGGCTCTGTCCCCGCTGTGAGCCTGCTCCCAGCCTTGGATGTCCTGACAGACTCTGATAGGTTGCCCCCTGCCCCTCACCTCTATCCCCCACAGAGCTCCCCTATGATCTACCAGAGCCTGCACTTCAAAGAACTGAAGCCCACCGAACATCCTGACTTCTCCTGGGTATTCAAGATGGGAGACCCCCCCTGCCCTCGAGCCACCACAGCACACTACCACCTGGACAAAGACCCTGAGCAAGACTGGCAGCAGACCAGGGCCAGCCCTAGCTCCAGCATGCCTGCAGCCACCCCCAGCCCTTCCGGCTGGCTCTCCCCACTCCCCTCCCCCTCCCCCTCCCCCTCCTCCTCCTCCCTCAGGCTCCAGTCCTCTGTTTCCCAGAGGCCCTGGTCAGCCTCGGTGGCCCAGCCCACTGCCTCAACTCTGTCTCAGGAGCACCAGCCCATCTCTCGGAGTTTGGTGACCCCTGTGGCCCTCACTTCCACTCTCAAGCATTACTTTGAACCCCCCAAGGCCAGCTTCCACGTGAGGTTCTGAGGTGCCCTCTGCTCCCCAGCCCTGCAACAGGATGGCCAGGCCCAGGGGCTGCTGCTGGACAATGTACCAGGCCCAGGTGGGGTTGGGCCTTCCCTGGGGGCCCCTCTCTGGCTCTCAGTGAAGCTACTCAGCCCCCGTTCTTGCTCCTCATCAGGAGAAAATAAAATTTCCCAAGTACTGACCACCCACAGGTGACAAGATTGTCCAGCCGGGGAGCCCATGTCCTGGATACCGGCTCCCGCCCCCCCATGGGAAGGCCCTGGGTAGGAAGCGGAGAGGACAGTCTCTCCCCCGGAGACCTGGGTGCTCCCTTTGCTGCTCTAGGGCCGGGCTTGGAGGCCCCGTGCTGATGTGCAAGGCAGGCCGGGCTGCTGGGGTGACCTGGCTGGCATGGGAGTCGGCTTGGTCTCAGGCCAGAAGGAAGCCTCCTGGCAGCTGCCTGGTGGTGATAGTTGCTATCTCTCTCTCCCTTGTTTGTGTGTCTGGGCCCCATGGCTGTCCCGTCCTGTGTCCTTGTTCCTTGTCCATGCAAGTGCCGGCACCACGGCCAAGAGCTCATACCCCCTGGGCTCATGGCCCCCCATCTGTCTGGTGACGATCTGGCCCACAGGCGCCCTGTCCAGGCCTCTGAGCACCTCCCCGCCCCCCCCCCCCACCCGCATCCTGCACGCATGCCCTGCAGCCTGGAGGGACAGAGCAGCTGGCACACTTCAGCAGCGCTTGCCCTGGTGCCACTCGAGACGTGGGCTCACCTGAGGGCATTGGCGAGGGGTGCAGAGCAGACTCTCTGACGGTCCCTGTGTCCCTGTCCCCCACCTGCCCTGCGGGGTGTCTGCGGCTTCTCTCCTCTCTTCTCACCTCAGCTCCGTTGCCCTTTCACGCTTACCAGCAGCGGAAGGTCTCACTCCCTCTGCCCCTGGCTGAGATTGCTCCCACCTCACTGCCTTCCCGGGCCGCCATCCTCTCCACACCTGGGGGTGGGGGAAAGCCATGCTCAGCGCCAGCTTCATTGCGCCTGCCACCAGCTGCAGAGCCACTCGAGGGAACAGGAGGTCAGGACGGCCATTGAGCTGCCCATGAAGGAGGGGGCATCTCCTGAAGGCAAGGGTGTGGCACCGACCGCCCCGGGCATGCTGGGCAGAGCTGGTTCTGGTCCCAGCTGTGGAGCTGAGTCCACTGACCCCTCCGGCCCCCTTCCCACCCAGGCTGGCCTGCCGCCTCTGGCTTCTGCTTAGGGGTCACACGGCTGCTGGCTGCGTTTGAGCCTTGCAGTGACCCAGGCAGGTGGAGGGAAGGACTCGGCCAGCCCAGGCACACCCGGCCTGACTGCTCCCACAGAGGCTGCCCTCTGAACGTGCCCGCTTCTGAGGGGTGCGGCGCCGTCTGAAGTGCCCATCTCCGGCAGAGCCATCCGAATGGGCCCCCAACCATGGGTTTGCTGGGAAAGAGGGAGGTGCAGAGCCACGAGCCATACTGTAGTCACAACACTTGGGTGCTCACGGTCGGTGGTTTGAGCCCACCAGGCCCCCTGCAGGGGGCAGAGGGCAGCCTGCTTCTGTTCAAACCACAGGGAAACTCCATGAAGCTGTTCTCCTCTATCCTAAAGGGCCTCTGGGAGTCAGAATGAGATCAAGGGCAGGGAGTCGGTTCTGGTGTCAGAGACTGAATATCCTCGTTCGGCGGCATCTGGCTGCGTGCCGAGCGGAGCCGAGAAGCCTCTGGAGAGACGTCTGTCCTCTGTTCACAAAACACGGGGCTTCACGGGACACAGTTCACGGGACGGGGGTGGACAGGAGAGCAAGGGTCTTTCCTGGCCGTTGACTGTCAAGGAGCAGAGTGGGTCCTGTTGGCCAGCCCCTGCCCTCCGGAGCTACAGGCTAGGGGGAGTTCTCTTGTATGAGCAAGGAAAAGGGAGGGAGGCTTCAGGAAAGACTCAAAGTTCGTGAGAAATCTGGTCTTCTCAGGGGAAGGGGTCTTCTGGAACCATCACCAGCGTTGCAGGGTCAGACTTGCACGGGACATCTGGCCCTTAGGCTGCTTCTTTTGCTGGGAGGGGCTTGCCCACACTTCCGGCCGCCGGTATTGGCAGTGAATTCCGTCCTTCGGAGTGAGGTAGGGAAATCTCTACGGTCTAAAGGCAAACAGCAAAGGTGTGTCAAGTGATCATGAATTCTGGTAGAAGACAAGTTTGAAGCAAAAGACTGCTTCTCCCTGGGGCGTCCTTTGTCTCCACACTTTAGGTTTGGGCACCCTGTGGGCACCTTAATGATTAAGGGAGATTAGACTCTGGCCCCTCCGGGCAACAGGTACTGGGGTGCAACTTCTTTACAGGTGGCCGATCCCCGTCCCCACCCAAAGTTGGGAAGGGGCTGGGTAGTGGTAATGGAGGGCTCCTCTATGCTGCCTGCTGCCCGTGGTCAGTGCCTCCTGGCCCAGCTTCCACCTGTGAGGTTAGGCAGCTAATTCCAGCGTGTCAGGGCTGGGAAACTGAGGCCAGTGTCTCACAGGGAGTCAGTGTGTGTGTGAGTGGGTGGGGCTGGATCCGGCTTCCCCGGCCACAGCCTGTGCCTCAAGGCTCCAATTCCTTCCTCTCTCGGGCCCTGTCCCCTCCTTTCCGGCTGTCATCTGCCATTTGCACCAATGGCCTTAAAACAGTCGTGTAGAGTCAGCTCTTTTCTGGTTATAAAGGCACAGGCAGGGGACAGATAATCAGGAGAACACATGCCCGCGGCTGTCACGTTGGCTCCGACTCACAGACTGGCATGAAAGCCAATGAAGCCCACCAGATGCCACCCCCCAGAGAGCCTTCTGACGCATCTTCTCCTAGGGCCCCTCCTAGGCCCTTGTGCACCCCTCTGCACACACACTCACACCCACACAGCTGCCGTCTACCTGCAGAGGACCCCTGGGCTCACCAGGGGTACCTGGACTGGGTAACGACTGCATTCCAGACCACTTCCAGCAGGTCTGCACGGGGGG